ATAAACATCAGTGGATGAAGTCTTTCTCAAACCATTTCTCTCGCTTTTCCTCCATAACAAAACTGAAGTCTTTTTCTTCATGATCAACGCTCTTACGTTCACAGGTTTATACTAATAGTTAAAAGCAGAACACTTACTGAATGAATTGTAGGCCTTTCTGGATGTCCTGCCACCGGCTGCTTCGGTCCTGGCATGTGGCTGACATCTTCCCATACACATGTAGGACTTGCCTATGGTCAACACCTACGGTTTATACAGAGATTACACAGATACATTGATTTAAAGGGATAGTTCGGCCAAAAATGATATTTAAACCATGCATTACTCACCCTCAAGCCGTTCGAGATGCATATGTCAATCTTGTTTCAGACGAACACATTTTCAGTTATTTTAGAAAATGTCTTAGACCCTTCAGTGGATATAATGTGAAGCAATGGGGTCCACCTCCTTTAAGTCCCAAAATGTGCATATATCCGTCACAGAAGTAATCCATCCGGCTCCAGGGGGATAAACGAAGGCCTTATGAGGGTAATCCGTGCGGTTTTGTCGTAAAAATATACATATTTAAAACTTTATAAATGAAAATATCTGACTTCCGGCAACGATCGACGCGCGTTCACGGGTGATGTTTTGCTCTGCTCTCTGCATAGCTCTCTGGCTGCGCGGGCGCGTTCGTTCTACGTCACGACGCTACGTCCTACCTCGTATGCCGACTTCCATCACCCGTGGACGCGCGTCGATCGTTGCCGGAAGTCAGATATTTTCATTTATAAAGTTTTAAATATGTATATTTTTACGACAAAACCGCACGGATTACCCTCATAAGGCCTTCGTTTATCCCCCTGGAGCCGGATGGATTACTTTTGTGAAGGATATATGCACATTTTGGGACTTGAAGGAGGTGGACCCCATTGCTTCACATTATATCCACTGAAGGGTCTAAGACATTATCTAAAATAACTGAAAATGTGTTCGTCTGAAACAAGATTGACATATGCATCTCGAACGGCTTGAGAGTGAGTAATGCATGGTTTAAATATCATTTTTGGCCGAACTATCCCTTTAAGGCAGATTTTTTTTAGTATCATGCATTGAAATATATCTTATAGTGCAAAAGTACAGTAATGGAAAAGCATATCCGTTCTGCTCTCTGTTAAGAGCCACTAGTCTCACCCAGCACATTATTCTTGCCTTACTTTTATTAGTGCAAATTGATTATTTAGAACAGTTTGTTTCAAAGAACCGATTCAGAAATTGAATGATGGCTTAGGCCACTTACATGACATACAACATGCTCTTAAAAGGCATTTTAGAGGTATTATTCATGTGCATGTTTCAATAGATATACACAACACACATTGTTGTTAGGAATAGTTCACCAAAATATGAAAATCATCCCATAATTTATCACTGTCTTCCCGTACACACATTCACGAGAGTGTCGAGTCCGAGCCGACATATGACGTAGCTCCTCTTATATCAAAATCCTCCAACATTTCTTTAAAACATCTTGTTTTTGACTTCTAATTCGTGACCAGCATTTTGTTTAGCACTATCCTCTGCGCTTGTCAATACTCATCCAAGCTTATGCTACATCAGGTCAGAGGTCACTCTTCCGCCTGAACGCGCTCATACAGCCGTTGCCGGAAGCCAGTGATTATAGTATATAAAATTTTAATTATGGATATTTTCCAAACAAAAACCCATCACTTTGCTTTAGAAGGCATTTATTTACCAACTGGAGCCATATGAATTACTTTTATGATGGTTGATGCACTTTTTGAAGCTTCAAATACTCAGTATTCAAACACTACTCAAAAGCCATTACAAAGCTGGGAAGAGCCAGACTATTATTTAATATAAATCTGTGTTCAGCTGGAAAAAAAAAGAAAGTCATAAACGCCTAGGATGGTTTAAGGGGGAGTAAACTATGGGATAATATTCATTTTTGGGTGAACTATTCCTTTAATGCATTTTTCTTCGATTGTTAGTTTCTTGAAACAATAATTTAGCTCTTTAAAAAAGTCGTTTAGAACTAACTATAGTGTATTTATAATACAAACAATGCTAACATTAAATCACATATCAGGGCGATATGTTCTCGGCCTATGACCCACGGATATAATTAACAGTTCAAAGATTTGTCGATTATTGACTCGGTTCAGTCGGGTTTTGCAAACGGATTCATTCAAAACACCTTACTCAAAATAAAAAAACCATTAAGGAATTCAGTATAAAATATAACATACTTATTAATCTTAACCCACTTGAGACAATGGGGATTCACAGAAATGTGGCGTCTGATATTGGTTGATTTAACCACATTGAAACTTCTCGCATAACTTAGGTCAAAAGTCTCATTACAAAAGCTCTAGCAATAAAGAAACGCTGGCTATGTCTCAAAGCCAAGTGAGCCGCCTAACTTCACCGCGGTCCATAAAGGTTTCTTCGAACGCGCCTTCGACATCCAAAAATGTACAGTCTAGATAGGCAGCACATTTGGCATTGAAACACAGCCATTGTATGACCAAATTTATAGAAAATTCCAATGGATAATTTTGCTGTAAAACGGGCACCGAAGCTCTGACCTGCTTTCCCGTAAAGTCAGGAACACGTAGATCTTGTGTGCTAGCCAAACGGTTGGTGGTTCAAACTCTTGTGTGACGAGTCGCTAGGTAAACTAGCATGATAGCATTTTTACCGCGCACCTCTGCCCACTCACTCGGCTGAACAGCGGCCGCCCAAACATATGTATGTAGGCGAACAAACCTATTTATTACTACTTTAACAACACTCACCTTAAGTAGACAAATGACCAGCAGGAAAGAGACTGTTCCATACAATCGCTAATGTTTTCATGTGTTCGTCAATCCTGCCTCTTCTTTGGGCAACGTGATCTTCATGACGTCTTGTTCACTTTTTCGGTTCGTAGTTGAAGATGGTTACAGCGCCCTCTTTCGGACAACAGCCGGCGAGATCTCCATTCTCCACCTGCGTTCATTTTCAAACATCGATCTACCGATGACATGCTAACTAGAAAAATGGTATTTTGAACATTTATTTAATCTGCTATTAAGTAACTATGCTATTTACCGGACCACATTTACAGGAAATAACTTACTTCCGCGTTGAAAAACAAAGTTGTTTTGAATCTGTCTTCTTTGCACGTGATATTACGATAACACCGACAAAACGTTCTCAATATTTTAAAATGTGCAGCGCTATGTTAGGAAATGTAAGTATAGGCAATATGGATAATAATGGTTAAAAAAATGAAAGAAAGGAAAGAAAACAAGCCCAGATAAATAAAGGCAGGCCTATTTGCCTATAAGCGCTAATTTATTTGGCTAGGCTACTTAACTTATAAATAAATGCGTGGACATGGAATATAAATTTGAATGATTTAATTTGATTTAAATTATTTTGTGAGAAGAAAGAGGACATGACTGATAAGACAGAACATCTTCATGCAGTCAGTTAGGGTGAATGCAGGGAAAGTGGGTCGTTTAAGTTTTATTGTACTGTGCTCAATGGGTTGGTTTACACTTTCAGAGCATGATAATGGTATTTAATTATAGAGACACTATTTCTTTAAATGATAAAATAGTTTTGGTTGATGCAATATGTCACTGGTGGATGTGGCTACATAAAGGTAGAAACCCCTCTGACATAAGATTTTATTTTTTTAAATGATAAGGTTGCTCACTAAATGTAAACAAATATTATTGTTACAGTTCCTGGTTTGTTTGCTACTACAGTTAACATAGAATCAAATGCAAATAATAAAATGTTTAAAAATGGGTTCGTTTTTCCCACTTTGGCTGGATGTGTTAGATAAAGTGGGCCAGTCGATTCAGGTAAAGTGGGCAACCTTTAACCTTCAGTAATTATACTCAAAATCATTAAATAAATTGGCATTCACTGGTTATTTTATAGTTGACATGTAATCTACTTTTTTATAAAACAGAAATGAGTGTGCCGTTAGGAAATTCAAGAAAGGAAAGAAAGAGCAGAAAATAAGACGAGGTATTATGTTCAATCTCTGGAGTGAAGAAAGGATGAGAGGAGCAAAATGTAGATGCAGAATATGACACTTTAAAATATGGAAACAATTTAAGTTAATTTAAAGTGTTTATAGAAAACTGACAGAAAAAAGTTTTACAATATGGTTAGCATTTTAAATGTTCCTCTAATTGAAATTTTGTTAGCCTATTTGTTGATACTTGTAGTCCCATTTTGTGTTGTAGAGTGTGTTGTAGAGTTCATTTTCATCCATATTCTGATTTCTGAATATTCTGATATTCAGATTTCATTCAATTTAATGTCAACACAGCATGTTCTATCGGTTTCTTTGAATTGCACATGCATTGAGTGAACTGATGAATTTCACTCATCCGGGCTATATATGCTTAATTGGGTTTGTTAAATATTTTGTGAAATATGTTTTTTTGATAATACGTGTTAATGAATCATGCGTTTTTAATTAAGATATGGATCATTTTTGATAAATCAGGGATGGCCCACTTTTACCTGAAAATACATTTGTCTGGAGTGCATAATCTCAACATCTTTATTGGTATATACCTTGCAAATAACACATTATATCAACTGTATTCAAATTGAAATATTATAGCTGGACCTTAAAGTAAAAAAAAACTTTTTTTCCGTTAAAAGGCCCATTACCTGCATTCACCCTAATATATTGTTGCACTGACCAATCAGAATATTCCATTGCAGCTGTACTACTACTAAAGTACACAATGTGCAAAATTAAGTTGAGTTAAAAAGTTAAAATTGAGTTTAAGTTAACGAGTTTGTGAATAGATCGTTTACAGATGGAGAGGGTAAATATATAGCCTTGTGCTGCTTCTGGCGTGTTCGATCATGATTCCAGTTGGCAGCTCATCCAGCTCAAGTTGTTTGTACGGAAAACCCAACCAGCCATCATTGGGCGGTCCCGACTGAGCTGAACACCCAACCAGTCATCAGACAGAGGGGGCACATTATCCAACAGTCTCAGACTTTAACTTTCGACTTAATTTTAACCCTGAGTGAGGAAACATCAGCCTCCAGCAGTGTGTGTGTGTGAGAGAGAGAGAGAGAGAGAGAGAGAGAGAGAGAGAGAGAGAGAGAGAGAGTGAGGATTACAGTAGGAGTGATGTCCTGAGATTACTCAGCATCTAAAATAAGCCCAGCACTGAGGAAGTCTGTTTATCCGAGACTGAAGAACAGAGACTGGACTATTACCTACTGTGAGCACAATGACTGCGCTGTATCACACATTCCTGCTCTTTACAGGTGAGGCTGCACATCTCATTTAACCATTCCTTCTCACGCTGCTTTCTTCTTATATAATCTACCTTTAGTCATTTAGCTACTCAAAGAAGTGTGGCACTGGACACCTGTAGTGTGTGTGAGTGTGATGCCCCCTTAAAAAACAATGTGCATTTACTTTTAATCTATAACATATTTAGAAATAAGTTTTGCATGTGCAGGATGATGATACATATAGAAACATTTGCTTATTTAGTTGTTATAGAACTAAAATTATTCAAAAAGGCCATCTTACTCCACTACTGGGGTAAGAAGCCTCCACTGGCCAAACTTTTACAGAATGATGACTTTTGATATAATTCTAATTAAACTTTTTTGCTAAAGTGTTGTTAATGTAAAATACTAAATCAACTATTCTATTTAAAATTGAATTTGGACAATTTAGCTGAATAATCTAATAACCAATGACAGGCAAAGCAGAATCCTATAGTAAAAGAGATTAATCTGAAAGGTAAAATTATTCTAGTGATATTTTACCTTTCAGATTAATCTCTTTTCTTGAATTAAAATAGCATATGAATAGCATATTAAAAGTATAGCATATGAATTTTTACATAATTAATTGTCCATATTTTAATTCAAGATATGTCATAATAGCAACACTATGAATGCAAAATGAATGATTTCACTCAACTAACTTTTAATGAAAGCGAAGATGTCTGAAATGTACATCTAATTTATGGAAATACTTAATAATAACCCCATTAATTACAATAATTATTCAATTTAAAAATAATAACACTAGAAACAACATGCCACTTGGCGCCTTCTGTGCCAATTCTGGTGGCCCATCTTACCCCAAGGGTCAAATTAGATTTTTTTAAAAGCTACAACTTTCACTCCACAAATCTAAAAACATTGATGTGTCCACAAAAAAAATAATGTTATTAATATATAGGCTATTATTAAATTATATATTATATTAATTTATAATAGCCTACATACTCTATATATTAAGAATAAAATTACTGACCAAATGCATTTAATAGCTATTTTTAAAATATGAAAGTATTCTTTGCATTTTTAAAACGCATAAAAGTTTTTTTTTTAAATAAAAAATCCATAAAATGACTTTGAAGATACAAAGTATGAATAAGTTTAAGATTTATTTATTTATGTAGAGTGGACAAAACAAAGTAAACATTCAGATCATATATATAAAAAATACATTCTTATGACTAAGAGCGAAACACTGGTCATTTAGACTTAAGAAATCCACAACTGGAATCTGACACTTAATCGGTGGAATCTGACACTGCATTGGTGAAAAGTGGCCCTATTCTTTCCTTGGGAAACTCTAGACAATAAAGTACATGAATTTAAACTTTTACCACTTGGTTTGTTTATAATAAATTACTATCAATGTCAAATATTTCATATATGGTATCATAACAAATAGCATTATATGTGAGAATATGGCAATATATTTTAAAAGCACACAGCATAATAATGTTCAAATTGTTTTAAAGTTATTGGATAAAAGTGTCTGCTAAATGAATACATGTAAAAGAAATGTGGGATAGAAAATTGGTTAAATTATAATGAATACCTGGCGGGCTAAATCCCCCCTTTTGCTCTTTTCAGTCAGTATGGCTTCCCTGCAGCCGCAGAGGTCTCCACGGAGTAAAAGGGGTCTGCTGGAACTAGCTGGGGTTATCAAGTGCAGCACGGGACGATCAGCTTTATCCTATGTGATGTACGGATGTTACTGCGGTATTGGGGGTCAAGGGTGGCCCAGAGACAGAGCAGACTGGTAAGACACCTATACAAACATCAGTGCAGTTCTAATGCCAGCAAATAAGCTGTGATTGCATGCACTTCTCTTTACAATGGTTCGATTTGCTCAGTCTTTTTTTTAATTTACTCCATGCATCTTGGTCACAGCGTGTCCATTTCTGTGGCATTTTCCATCTGGGAAAAGGAATACTCCCAGCTGTCCCACACACAAAATAACTGTTTCCCTTAACCTCAGTTTAGGATGCAGAGACCAATTTCGCTGCTCCCAGAGAAAGAGCTCTTTAGACAGCGAGATGAAAAAGAATAAACAAACCTGCTAATATCATTGCACCACATTCCACAGCAGTATTGTTTAATCCAATCTTACAGAGTCAGCAGTTTATCTGGCCGAGCGGCTCTCTGTGTATGAGATCACGTTGTATTTCTGCAAGTCTACTTGAATTATACGTTACATAATGACGAAACAATTCAAAACCAGACAGAACTGGGCTCGGTCCTCTGTGTCGTTTCATTAAAGGTAATCTCAAGGGCATGTGTTCTTCTCTGACTGTAGGTGTTGTCACAAGCATGACTGCTGTTATGGGGATGCAGAATTCGCGGGCTGTCAAACAAAAACGGACCGGTATCAGTGGACGTGCGATGACAAGCAGGCCGACTGTGGTATGATGTGCTATTTAGACCTTAAACACCATATTTACATTCGTTTAGAAAGTATATGATCAATAAGTTATGACAACATGTGTTTTTTATATTGCTTTAACTCACCAAAAAGGTTAAGCAATTTTCAACTTTTACAAGATTCAACTCATTTTTAAAGTCAGTTTATTGTCATTTAAGTTGAAATGACTTAAACATCCAAGTTGATTGTACTTAAAAATGTAAGGCAGCAACTTTAAGTTTTTACATTATAAGATGAGATCTAAATGAGAAACAGAACAAGTCAGTAAAGAGGAAACTGGGTGGGGGAAAAAAAATTTTTCCTTCCGCTCGAGGAAGTAGTAGTAGTACAGGGTGTGTATTATAGCAGACGGGACACTTCAGGCTAAAAAGACTAACCAAACCACGGGATATTTTAAGATCTTGTTCTTGCAGTAAACACCATAATGTGCAATAGGCAACACTCATGAGATTTACAGTACATTGTTTAGCAGCCATAAAAGTGATGGTTTTAATTCATGGTTAAAGTATGGTTTCCTTCACTCTATATGCAAACTACTCATTTTACACAGCCGACAATTTACATTTATGTGTCTTCAACGCAGACGTGCTTAATGACAGATGTGCGAAAATCCTCTGCCGATGTGACAGGGAAGCGGCCAGATGCCTCAGAAGGGCACCGTTCAACCAAAAGTACGCTCTGTGGCCGGATTTCCTCTGTGGATGTGTACATCCCACCTGCAACATTTACTAATGTCAGGACCTAATTTGGTTTAAAAAAAAATCTTGTAGAGCTTGTATTGTATGTTTGATGAATATTAGTTTGAATTTATATTGTTAAAAGGATTTCCATTTTCTACATATGTATTTTATATTTGCATAGTTGACTTTCAAAAGTGAATGGATTAAAGTATGTGCAAAATATTCACAATTTTGCTCATCCTTTATACAGTATTTAGCCAAATTAGCATCAGAGTGTTTTCTGAATGGCACTTCACCATTTTGGCCTGTAGGGGGCGGCCGGGGTATTTCTCTCAGGATAGGTTTAGTTTAGACAAATGTGTCACAAACAATAAGTACCGTACTGTTAGGACCTCATCATGCAGACCCCACAATACACAAAACAGCTTCAATACACAAGACATAAACAGATTTTGCATTTCCTGAGAAACAATGTCCCTTTGATGTTCCAATATGGACCCTTTTGGTTCACACCTTTACAGACAGAAGCAGTTGATTGCATCTGGGGCAGATTCAGTGTAATTAAATCTGATATTCACTTTTACATTACATTACACTTTTACATGCATTTTGCAGACAATTTTTATCCAAAGCAACTTTAATGAACAGAACTTCGAGGAGCCAACTATACTCAATGCAGGTGTATTTGACGACTGGGATTAGGAAGAAAGCTAGAGAAGAGTATAAATGCTGAGAAGATTGTGTGTGTGTGTGTGTGTGTGTGTGTGTGTGTGTGTGTGTGTGTGTGTGTGTGTGTGTGTGTGTGTGTGTGTGTGTGTGTGTGTGTGTGTGTGTGTGTGTGTGTGTGTCTGAGCGTAGCTTGCGGGGGGCTATATAGCGACTGAAAGATGCTACTAGTTTTGCAAATAATGAATTTGCAAAACTCATTATTTGCAAAATCAATCAAACTTACGTCTCCACAATCTCATTAGAGTTAGAATTTATCACATGATGAATCTTCATTTGGCGGTAACAGCCCAACAGATGTCTGTTAAAGCAGAGGGTGAGCGCTTGCTGCTCTCTGTAGTCAAAGTAAACCACTTCAACATCATTAGGCCATATGGAGTTACATGGAATGTGAATATGTAGGTTTACTATTAGAAAAGCTAAAATGTTGACTGACAGGCACTCCATGGGGATGCGATTTTTCCTGCAAAAACGTCCCGAATAATCAGTCCGCAGGCGTTCACAACCTAGGAAGTCGAGGAAGGTCTCGTTTTTTAAAGTTTCGTTACAAGCTGTTCACACATTGACAACAAAAAAGCAATGAATACATGGGAATTCTTACATATAGCACCTTTAATGGCTTTTTAGAAAAATTCAACAGCAAAACAACAGGTGAAGTCAGCTAAAATGGGCCACGGTTTGGTAAATTACATATAATACTACCATCAAACAAGCTATGCATGAGATCTAATGATATTTTTTTTATAAATTAGCATGGGTCTCTTAAATATATATGTATATCTTTTTTAAATGTGAAAAAGTATAATTGTTTTAAAATTATGAGAGTTCTGTTGAGCCACGGCACAACATTCAGGTAAAATGGGCCAGCCGTTCAGTTAAAATGGGCCAACAACATAAAAAGAGAACAACAGGTAATTTCTGCCGAAATCATTCTATTTTTAACAGTTAATCGACACTGTCTTTAGTATGTCATAGCAACACCATGACTGTGTAGACTATTTCATTAAATAGAAAGTTGAGCAAATATGTCATTAAAAATGCAATTAAAAATGAACTGATATAGCTCAACATGCCATTTATACCTAAAATGACCTTTTTCACAAAAATATACGTTTCTTTTTTAAATGAAACTTTTTTATTTGAAAGAGCATGTCAAAACATTGTTCATAAACCTTTTCTTTGTTGGTAAGCTTACTTATAATCACTTCAGTACCCTTATTAGTGATGAATGAAATTTACTGTCAGGCTCACTTACCTTACAATTTCTCTGACAAGCTTCATGCAACACTTTGCATCCCTTATAAACTCACACCAATTAAAACTATTGTTACATGTAAGTGTTGAAGCAACAATGCAAGATCAGTTATTGTGATTGGCTGTAGTAAAAAAAGAAAAAGAAAAAAGAAAGAGATATGACGCTATAACCTCTTAACCTGCAAGCCATTTGCCATTGCATGTTTAAAACAATAATATCTTAGTAAAAACCTAAAGTAATATTGCCAAACTATATATCATTTGAAAGCTTAAAATCTCTAGTTTTCATATTTGGTGGCTGTTATCTAAAATAAATTACAGAGGAGCAGTAATTTATCAATTTGCAACAAGAATATTTCATATTCATTAGGAGTATTTAGGCCTTTATTTTGAAATAACAATAAACACGAAAAATCATGAAAGATTGGTAGAAACCTCAGTTTGTTTTCATGCCATGAGTTCAAAAGATAACACCAATTCCATTTTATGAGAAAAAAAGGTCTGAAAATGTTTTAAATATAAAGAAAAATGTATGGATTCTCGATTTCTGATTGGCTGCGAGCTATAACGCTATAACGTAGTCTTTTTATGCATTTATTAGAGGTTGAATTCAAATCAAATACTGCCAAACCACCCATACTACTTCTGAAATAGGATGTCTACTTCATAAATTGTATGAAAATTATGGAAATACATGGTTCAGATCACTCAAAACATATATGAAAATGGAGGCGCCCTTATATGGGCAGTAATGGAGACTAGTGAAAAAGTTGGGTACTGCGCCCAAATAAAATCTTACTGAAAGCTCATTTTTTTAGATATCAACCTAAAATTTGGAATACAACTTGTTCAGATTCTTGTCTTTAATTTTCTTGCAGTTTTAGAGTAAAATATATTTTGTAATATATATATTTTATATAAAATATTAATAATTATATTTTTACATTACACCATTTCATAAACTCAAACTTATATAACTTTTTTTCTGTTTCATTTTTTATCATTTCTAGACTTCTACAATAATCTGGAAAATGTCTTCTTTAAAACAAGACCAGCCATAGGTCTATATTCCTAAGCATTCCTGAATTACAACCATTTAAGTTTGGATAGTGATTTTTATGTCTATGCAAAAAAAAGGGGGGTGCCAGTTAACATATTTGGCCCATTTTACCTGATAGCCCATTTGATCTGAATTCACCCAAAAAAAAACTCAGCAAAAAATGGAACAACAATAAATGTTGTACAATATAACTTATAACATATACTTGACCTGAATATGTTCAAACTCTCATTACATTGTAAGTCATAGAAAAAAAGAACATATTTAGCATTAATACACAGTTTATGTCTAGAGAACTTCTTTTAAAGAGTTATGGCACTGATCCAGCATACATAGGCCTACAGAACAAGATTAATGGATCATGCTGGAGCTTCAAATATGACCATAGCTGGTCTGGTGTGCAGTTTCTTTTACCTAAAATGAATGTGTTAATATCCAGGGAATGATAAGAATTCTGAAGCTGGCAAAGCTTGTGTTGTCTTTTCTAAGCCAAAGAGGAAATCTAGCTCCCCCACCCTGTGTCCTTAAAAGTCTCCTCATAAATGGTGTGCGTCCTTTGCTTATCCTCGCTCTCATTCCCAGCATTACACAGAAATGACGTCAAGTTCATTAATAGAGCTTGTTGTCTTTTATGTGAATGTATGAGCTGAATGAAACGAGAGCAGTGGAGGGAATCACAGGCCTTGACTGACGGTTATTGGTTGCATGAAACTTACCTCTAGGTGGCACTATAGCATCAGTTTTCATTTACACACAAACCACAGACAACAAAAGGATTTCGGTCCTTTTCAGTTTATTGTTTTATCGTTATCAGCGTCATTACAAAATATACACAATAATAGGCCTAATCAATATTTTAATTATATTATAAAGGCCCTACATACAATACATTGCTTTTTAAATGAGATTCCAGTCAGGCCCGGCCGGGCTATAGCCTGCAGTCGTTTTTCATGCATGCGCTTAATGGTAGCCTAATAGAGAATATGGTCTTTTAAAGATAGCTACCTCTGACTATGCTATGCATTTTTGGTCTAAACAATACTTGCTCCGACGTAAACCCTGCTGTACACAACCATATTAATGAAGATTAATATTAGTGCTTCTTCATAGTGATTCCTCTGTCTGCACAAAAGTTACTCAGTTGTTGGCTCATGTGTAGATGAGGTAATTTAATAATACCAGCATGGTAAATCATGCTAATCTGTCTTGTTTTTTGCAGTGTTAAGGGATTTAAAGGGACATAACTGGCCTTTGTATCCCATAGTCACTACACAGGACTCTCTTGTGAAGTTCCTCACGGTCTGTTGTCAGGCAGGGTGAAGCTATCCGAAACAGGAGAAGATCTGCCCAACAGCCAGAGCCGGAGACCTGAATATCTGGGGCAAGTTCCACAAACACTCACTCAATTGTGTCCTGCCATCAGCGGTTAATGAGCGATGAAGTTATGGAAGTCATATGCTTCTGCAGTCACATGCAGGAGGGAAAGAAAAGGGGTTTTAATTTCACGTCTGCATGTCAGCTTGTTTACTTCCTCTGCGAGCATCTTGAAATTGTAGACAATGCTCTTACTTGTTTGAGTTTTTTTTAACTCATTGAGCATGGGCTGTTCGTTATCTATCACTATAAAGTGGCTGCTGGAACCTGAAAAACAAAGAACTGTAACTTCAACTTCTGTATTTGTACAGGCCGGGTAAAGATAATAGCTAATGACGGAGATGGGTATCTAAACATGCTTGAACCATGATACCTTTTACCACTTGTTGTAAATCAATCATCTTTGCAGAACTTTTTGTAGTCTGACACAATATAAGTCTGTATATTGATAGATTTTACACAAATATCTCAAAATACAGTGTCCTCAAAATGTTTGCTAAAAAGAAACCGTCTTTTCTCTCAACTGTTCTTTTCTTTGCAGCATGTGGTCCCAAGTTGTATTTAGTGAATCTGCACTACCATTCAAAATTTTGACGTCAGTACGAATTTTTTAATGTTTAAGTCGAGTCAACTCAAGTCATCTTTA